AACAATAACTATCAATACATATAACCTAACTTGTTTTTTTTTTTTTTTTTTTTTTTTTAATTTTTTTTTTTTTTTTTTTTTTTTTTTTTTTTGCGAAAAGGAAACAAATAGAAAATATATATTTTTTTTTCATGTTGTAAATTAGATTTATATCTACGATACCAACATAAATAAATGGGATTTAAAGGTGAGTTAGAAAAAGATTGAAACTTCATTAATCCAACAGGATAAACTAATTTAAAGTTGATTACTAGTTTGCTAGTGGATCGAAAAATATCGATGCACGTCGATTCCATACCGCATCACTAACTGATGATGGACGCATAATTGTATTTGGAGGAGAAAATGTCGTTCGTGGAAGTGCTCAACCAAGTTTAGTTGTATTAGATACAAAGGACGCAAGGTCGTTTACTTGGGTTTTACCATTTATATCAGAGGAACCTAATGCTTCTCCATTACCTCTAATGCTTCATTCGGCTTCTATTGTAAATGACTATATGGTTGTCTCTTTTGGTAAAAAAAAAAAAATTCATTATATATATTTTGTTTTTCTTTTGTTTTTGATCCTTAAATTGAAAATTTTATTATAGGTAATATAACGGATGGAAGAAAACAACTTAATGATAAAATTTACCTATTTGATGTAAAGAATTATCAATGGGTTAGCGAATTCATAATTGATAGCCCCTTCAAGCCAATTTCTCATTCCAAACCTAAAAAGACCTTAGGAAAGTCACCGTCAGATAAGGGAGCATCTGGTGATTCTGAAACAGATGAACCTAAATATCTTGGAACGATTATTGCCACAAGCATTGGCAGCCTTGCATTTGGTGTGATCATAACTGGAATCATAGTCTTCATTCATAAAAAGCATAAAAGAATTATGCGAGATCATAAAGAAGCACGGAAAATACAGGAACTATATCTACAGCAGCAACGGCAGCAACAGCAGCAAACAACACAACCCACCGCTAGCGTTTAAATAACAAATGATTGGGTTAGATTAACCAAATGTTAAAAAGAACAATATTGTTGAGTTTTTAATTGAATGAAGATTTATTTCCTTTGATAATTGTTGCATTAATCTTGTTTCTTTTTTTTTTTTGCACCAACTTCTACATTCATTAATGCTAAACTAAACATGTATTTACAATCTAAAGCCTGATTAAAACTTTTTATGACCTATAACGTTGTACAGTTATTCTCCCAAACTGTAGTTTATTAATAATACCTCCCTGCCCGCTTCCAGATTTCACACCCTTTTCAAAATATTCATTTTCAGAAAGATGCGAGATTGATGGGATTGAGAAGCTTCAAATAAGTCTCTCGCTAGCGTCGATGCGAAAATGAGGAATAAAAATAAGTTGGGATTTTGTGGCCTAAATATATTTTTTTTTGATAAGGTCTTGGTATTTTTGGATCTGCTGAAGCAACTTGGCAAAGTATAAGTTAATTATTAATACAGTGATACAAAGCACCGCATACGGTCAACAGGAATCGTTTCATTGTTGTTGCGGTTAATAAATAGTAGATTAATTTGTTGCATTGCATTTTACGTTGTCTTCGTTAATAA